TTGCTCCCGGTGCCTCTGGTCTGCTGGGGACCATCTCCAGCAGACCAGGGACACCGGGAGCAAAGGAGGCGGAGGGGCGCTGGGGTATAAGATGAAACCCTATCTTTTAATTAAAAAGATAGGGGGTCGTCTTATACACCCAGTCGCCCTATACGCCGGAAAATACGGTAAAACAAAAAAGAATAAAACAAAAAGATTCAAACACCATACTTCCAGAAGTCCACTAGGTTTAGCATTAAGAAATGCAGTTTCCAGTGAGTTAGTTCAGTTGTTGTTCATTATTTGTTTTGTGCTCATGCTTAGGAATCTGTTTTCCTAAAGTTATTAGGAGGTGGTAATTCAAAAATTAGGGGAAGATTTATAGTGGAAAACTAGCCTCAACGGAGAGACTAGTATCCTTATCCTACCATACATTATTGAGGTGAGATTATTAAAACAACAAGATTGTGAAAATATCTAATTTCTTTTTTACCACATATGCTAATCATAATGGATTTCCCTAATTCTGAATAGTGAAAATCGACATGTCACTTTCACCTTTGTTTATAGTCAGTCTTGGTTTTTTTCCTGCAATGACACAGTACTACCAAATAGATGAATTGTAAACAAACCCAAAATAAAATTTGCTTCATTTGTACGATAAAGATTATTAAAATGTTTTCTTAATATTTTGTTTGGAAAAACCTTTGTTTTTTGCAAAGCCTGAAATTCAAAGTGAAAACTAAGATGTCTGTTTTTGTTTTCTGCATATTTATAGACTCAGTTACTAAGAGTTATCTCAGAAAATCATACACTAATGTATTAGCTTTTCAAATGCTTGTTTTGGAGAATGACATCTTGGTACATTTTTAAATTGCATTTTGAAATTACTCCTCTTCCTGTATTACCTTTCAAAAAGAGGCAAAATATGAAAATTTTTTACACTTTAGATACCCTGTTGACCTTTTTGATTTTCATTTTCCCTATTCCTTTTTCTTGTGACAGAATTATGGATCCAAGCTTGCTAAGAGAACGAGAGCTATTCAAAAAACGAGCACTCTCCACTCCTGCTGTAGAAAAGCGTACAGCAGCTTCTGATTCAGCATCTTCCAAAAAGAAAAAAGCAAAGGTAGAGCAGGGTGGATCATCGAGCTCAAAACAAAACACAGGTTGGTTAAAGTTCCTCTGATTGTGTGAACTTCTACAACTCTGAAGTAATTTTGACTCTTGAGGATGGAGGTAGAGTGTGGGTGAGGCCCTCTGGATGGTGTAAATCAGTGGTGGGCAACCTGTGGCCAGCAGGGGTCTGTGTGTGGGCCTCAAGATGTTTTGTTTACCGTTACCCACGCACAGGGTTGCCAGGTTCCACTGTTTTCCATTTACATAGTTTTTTCCTACTGGTTATTATTACAAGCAAGGGCACATGAAATGAGGTGCTTGCTGATTGCATGCAACGTTGACTGTGAAAGTCATGTGCTCCCTCTGCATCCCATTCCAGCGCTGCTGTGGTACAGTCAGTACAACCTGCAAATTCTAGGTACACAGTCACAGGTAGCAAAACTACCCTATCCTGGGAGACCATCTTGGTAATGACAATTTTGCAGCCCACTAAGATGGAGGGCATTAGCCTTGGTTGCCCATCACGGGAGTAAATGCTGGCTTCTGAACTTTGCAGCCAATTTATGCTTGGCTCTGCTTCATGAAGAAGCTTCTGGTGTGCTATGGTAGAGTGTCATTCTAGCTCTTTCTATTGAATGCTTTTTAGCATTTTCCTGTCTTCTCACCCCATTCCCTTCTTTCCTTTTATCTAGGCTTTTATATGGGGTGTTCATAGCTGTACCATTTCAGGTCTGATTTACACTTAAAACATAGATCAACAAATCTACAGATCTCCTGAATAACATAGCTATGCACATATAAACCCTCATTGTTGATGCAGGTATGTTGATTAAAAAACACTCATGTTGACCTAGCTACCCTCATTCAGGGAGGTGGAGTTAATATAACAATGAGAGAACCCCTTCCGTCAGTGTAATGTATATCCAAATCATCAGTTTACAGCTGCATAGCTACAGTGTCATCACATTGCCACTGTAGCCCATAATATAAACAGCCTTTGAGTGTTTCCCAAGAGTAAAGTCAATAACAATGTGGGGTGTCTCTCCCTTTCTTGCTAATAGGTAGGCTGAGAATTTGGATTTTTTTTACTAAGAAGATGGGAGTTTGACCTAGTTTCCACTTTTTGTGGGGCTATTTTTTCAGATCATTGAAGATCTCCTGTTTGTCAGTATAGTTTCTTACCATACTTCCTATCTTTCCTGCACAGTGGGATAGGTTGTTCTTGTGCCCTTAATAATGTCTTTGGAAAACTACTCACTCTCTTGAATTGTTAGACTTGCTTCCCTTGGAAGCTTACCTACTACCGCTGCCCTGAGTTTGCTAAAGTCTGTCTCCTTGAAGTCCAGACTCTTTATTGTGCTGTTTTCCCTCCTGCCATTCCTTAGAATCATGAACTCTATCATTTCATGATCACTTTCACCCAAGTTAGGACCTGGGATCTGTCAATAATACATATTATTGCAAAGAAAGATTGATAGGAGACTATAAAATAGTCAAAGTTAGCTGACTGTGGTCATCGGGAGCTTGATCTATGCTACAGAGTTAGGTCGACCATAAGTAAGCTTACATTGACCTGCTTCTGTAAGCATCTGCACTAAAATGTAGCTCCCACTGATGCAACTCACCCACTGCACCAACTTAATGACTCCACCTCTGAGTGGCATAGTGCTTTCATCAATGTAATGAGGTTAATGCAGTGTCAGTGTAAACATTGCGTTGCTTACTCTAACTGTTCCTGCCTCTCAAAACCCCACAAATCCCTACACTGACAGTTAAATCGTTGCAAGCTCTCCTGGCGAGGATGTGCATCTCTGACACAAGGAGAGTTGTGTGGACATGCAAAATACATTTAATTACTGTGGTGGCTGTACCTCAATAACTTAATCTGTAGTATAGACTTGCCCTAAGACAGGAACTCAATTCATCTAGTATGAAGGTGTATTCTTACTTCTGTAGCCAAGAACAGTGGATCAGTAGCTCAAAAGACAATGCCCCTGACTACTGAGGAGTGTGTAGTCGAGGTGGAGATTAGAAATGATCTGTGAAATCACAATCTCAGAGACAAGAAGATGGAGGCAATCTCTTAGGTGAGATGTTCTTGTTTTGGGGGTGAAAAGGCACTCATTTGCGTCAAGACAGAACTCTTGACTGAGCACTCCTTTGTGGAATTTATGGAGGTGACCTCACTCTGATGTGATAACAAACTCTTAACACTTAGGAATTGATAAGCAGTTTGGGTGAGGGTGGGGCTTCTCTGAGCTACAGGGAGAAACTGTCTGGTGCTACCAAGAAGTGACCAGAGGGGTACTTCTTTTCTAGGGATGAACATTTTTTTCTATATAAGAAGAAACCCTGCCTTATTGGGCTTTGCAAAGTATTCAGATGCAATATGTAATGAAAACCATTTATTTTGCTTACTGAGGTTTTTTTTCTTTTTAATAAATTCGTTTTAAAGAAGATTACTATTGTTTGGGTAAATGTCATACCGACTTTCTCCAAAAGGAGAGCTGCTAAAGGGTAGGGAGTTTCTGGAATTGTAGCCCCTCTCCCCTGATTTCAGCCATGCATGGACAGAAATATCCTTTCACATTGAGGTGTATTGCTTGAGGCTGACAGACAGACAGACATATGGAAGAATCCAGTAGACCAAGGAGGAGACAGACATGAGATGGCAGGAGTGAAGGTGATAATCAGGTCGATCTGTATTTTTCCAATTATACAACATTGTGAATTGTTCTGATGAACAAATATTTACTCTAGTAATTAAATATAGATGACAAAAGTTCATTTAAAACAAAAAATCTTCCCACATAACATTCAAACCGTATACAGATTTTGCTAGCCATTCAGGTTCACATCCAGAAGTGAAATAGTTGCTGCTTATAATGATATTTAAGGCTCAAAAAGCACACAACTTGCTCATGAGATGCAAGAGGCTTCACTTTGTTTGTGGATTCTTCTGTGATTTCTAGTTATTACACCACTTCTGTTTCTCTCTTTCTAAAGGTGTCCATCATGGTTCTCACCGGGTTGGATTCATTATCTAGGTCTTTCATTGTTTTATTTTTCACACAGCAGCAACAGTCAAGCAGCTCGTAAAGGAAGGCCAGTGCCACCAGAGAAACTACAGTAAAGATAAATATAACCAGAATAATAAAGCAGGCCGTGTTCCAGTTATCATGGAAAGGGTAAATCTTTTGCACTTGGAAACCAAGATATTGGTAAAGGGATGTAGTCTCGTTCCAGTGACTGGTGTTGAAGGTTGCCATCCTTGGGGAGTCCTTTTATTGTGCTCACTGCAGCAGATCTGTAGGCTAAAACAAAGATAAATATGATGTTTTTAGCTTCTAAAATTGTCAGATTTGTTTTTTTCTTTTTCCAACTGAGTTGGAACTCAGATTATTTTCCCTAGTTGGAAAAATTTACTTTCAGAATGGCAGCTACTTTCCTGTGGCAAGCAGTGAATATTTTTGAACTGGGGAGCTTTGGCTATGTACGTTACCTTTGAAGTGACGCTGCATTAACCTGGCTCTTTATTTTGCTTTAACTCAAAAATATATTGGATCAAAATGCACAGCTTGCCTGCATGATGACTTTTTAAAATATATTTTATTGCAAGACTAATACACTGTAGCATGTATCAATATAAACGCTAGTAAAGTTTAAGAGCATCTTTCATTTATTCCAAGGATATTGCAAAGAAGCAGTCTTGCAGAAATTATTTACATCTACATGGGATGACTTTAGAAACATTCTATTTGCTACTCTTAGTTTTTAGTGGTTTGAAAACGCACACTGTGCACATGACATTTCTAGCAAAACAAAGTACCCATGTGCTGTTACAGAATGCGTGCAGCCGAACGACTAGAACGGTTAGCATTTGGCATTCTTTTGAGTTCTTCCTTTTTAGGCTTATTCTGTTCCAGCTGTGTGAAAGTGTTTGTAGTTTTAAATACAGTACAGTTCTGTTTCTTAGAATGGTCTGTGGGGCATCTGATTCCATTGGGTAACTGCATGTTTGGGTAAATGGACATGCTTTGTTAAGCTGCAGGATTTCTGGGGAGGTGGCGAGGAGAATGGAAGACAAAGAGGGGGAGTAGTAGCTGCAGGAAATAGGAGCCTTGTTAGTGCTACTTTAGCACTTCCCAGCACAAACAGCATTAGGGGAGGGAGTTGGCTGTTCCCTCAGTATTTATATTGGTGCCTGAAGAGCCCAGGGCTGTCAGTGTTGGGAAGTGTTCAAGCAGCATCAAGGAGCATCCTGTCCCCAGCAGCTCCTCCCCCTACTCCCGTTGTCTTTCCTTTACCTTCTGTCTCCTCTGCCCTCCTCTTGGCCTCTTTTCATTTCCATTCTCGCTTTCTTCTTCCTATTCAGAAATCTTTCTGTGTCACAGTTCCCACCGCCATAACGTTAATCAGTTGGTATTTAATCGACAGGGCTATGTGGGGATGCAATGTTGTTTTGCTGTCTGGGTCATTTGAATTTGGTTACATGGAATCCTATTGCACTTAGAAATTGTAACTGTTTTGGGAATGAGTTTCCAAAAGCAAGATTGAACTTTCAGTTGCTCTCCTAGTTTACAATACAATTTTCTCCTTTGTAAGTGCTATTATTGCCCTTTCCGTTAACATGCACGCTTCCTAACAAGCCCCAGTCCAAATTTTCATTGCTTCCCAGAAGTGGCTGGCATGTCTCTGCAGCTCCTGGGGGAGGGAAGACCGGGGGGTTCCTCCATGCACTGTCCCCGCAACTCCCATTGGCAGGGAGCTACATGGGCAAAGCTTGTGGCAGGGGCAGTGCACAGAGGAGAGCCCTGGCCTTTGCTCCCCCTAAGAAGTAGGGAAGTCTCCTCAGGTAAGCACCACACCACATCCCAATCCCCAGCCCTACCCCTCTCCCAAACCCAAACTACCTGAGCAGTGGCCAGTATGACTGATCCGGGGCTGCCTGATTGGCTCAAGCAGCCTTGGAGCCAGCCGCATCATGGAGATCACAGAAGTCAAAGAATTCTAGACCTCTGTGACACAAATGTAGCCTTACTTATGAACAGTTTTAAACAGCAGTCTTTGTATAATATTGTAGCTTTTGCATAGTACAGAGGACCGGGAGTGACTCCATAGTTAAGAGCTTGTCTAGGGACATCCAGGAACATTAATAAGAATTTACTAACGGTAGGAATTTAAAGTGGATTAATCAAACTGCATTAAGCCCCTGAGTGAACAGCCTCATTCGAAAGTGAAGTGGTCTTAATTTTGTTTAAATTAATACACATTATAGCCCCAAATTAAAATCATACAGGCAACTTCATTCTGGTATTTTAGAACTCTCGAGAGCATGATTGTGCAGCCTTAAAGTTTTCTTAATATGTATTTTGTATGTAAATTAATATATAAATTCTCCTACACAAACTTGGTACAAGAAGACTGAAGATTAGGCAAGAAAATCTAAAGGTCTCTTGCATGCTATACTCACACAGGAAGGATATGATATGACATTAGTTATGTAGCTCTGATATTAACCAACTAGAAGATTTACTCAGCATTGCTCAGGTGCTTAACTCAAATATTTTTTGTTTTTCTACATTTAAGTCATTGCTCTGGGGTGGGTATGGAGACGAAGGGTTCAGTATGCAGGCTGCCCCGGAGAGAGAGGGCAGCCCCAGCCTTCTCTCACTGCAGCAGCTTGTAGCCAGGGGAGAAGTTCCTGTTCACGGTTGCTGCTGCTGCAGTGAACACAGCCAGGGGAGGGGAGCATGTTCCCCGGGACACACGGACAAACACACACAAACAGACACGTTCTCTGAAATGTATGTTAGATAGCTGTCCCTTTTGTCACCTTCCCCCTGCTGCCCCAGCGGAGTGTTGCTGTCCCTGTCCCCATCCCCATCTCTGGCCTCTTGCTGTCCCCTATGGTCATTCTACAGTATAACTGTCCCTACTGGCAGAGCCCTCCCTTTCCATTTTATGAGAAACAGTCAAATTCCAGGCACATCCCATTGTCCTGGCACAACCAAACCCTGACCTGGCTTTAAGTTAGGATAAAAAGAAGCTGCCTATCAAATTGTGGATCTTACCGCTCAAACATATAGTAGACTAGAAGACTTGCCCAGCATTGCCCGGGTCCTTCAGGGCAGGGCCTTGGGGATGTGGGGAGGCTGGGGTATGGGGGGGTGAGGGAGGAGCTGAGGGCAGGAGGTCCCATCTGGCGGAACTTTCTCTCCCCTCTCTTCCTTGGTCAACAGAGGCCTTTTTCCCCCCCTCCCTCAGGCTCTGTGGCCAAGGGGGAAAGGGTTTGAAGAAGGGGGGCAGACAAGATGGTGGAGCCCCAGCCCTGCTGGCCACTCGCTTGATGGTGCGGCTGCCCCAGTGGCCACACTCAGTATCACATCCCTCTTCTCTCTGCCCCATGGGCAGTTGGTGCAGCTGGGGGTGGGGCCTGCCTCCCCTAACCCCACCTACAGCCCCGCCCCCCCCATAGGGAGGGGAGGAGGTGGGGCAGCATACTGAGCATGGCCTCCCCAGGGAAGGAGACGAGGCAGTGCACTGAGTGGTTCCAGCCTTCCCGACTGGAGCATGGGAAGGGTGGGCACTCTGGGTGGACTGTGGGCCAGGGCCAGGCTGGCAGTTTGGGAAGGCAGAGCCTGTGCCACCGAACGCTTACATTCTGCCCCTCCCTTTCCATGTTATGGAAGGAAGATAATCCCATTCCCTGCGCTTCTTGTTTCTTTATTACAACCAACCCCTGACCTTGCTTTAAGTTAGGAGAAGAGGAAGCTGCCTACCAAATTTGGTGGCCCTACTGCTTCCCATTTAGGGGGAGTTCTTGAACAGACTCTGACAGACATTTCTAAACTATATAGATAGATTAATGAAAGATGACTGTAGAGCTGTGTTTTATACCATATGCAATTACACTGAATATGAGGCAGATTTGCTCACTTAAAATTTCTTACAAAAATCTTCAGATACATTTTTTGTTTGGTAAATAAAACAATGAGTAAAGGTATAGCCTGCCAGGAAGTCTGCCTGGCTAGGGGTGTTAAATTTAATCAACTAATCGGATAGTCTATGGAATGTCCATCAACTATTTGATTAGTTGATAAGGGTGCTTCTGCTTTGAAATGTAGCAAGAGCCCGCCCGGCTGTTGCTACATTTCAGAGGTGGAGGTGCTACTTGACATTCCGCCTTTGAAATGTACAAAAGCCCCAGTAGGGTCATGCCGCATGGAGTCCCCCATTGGCCCTAGGCTCCATGCTGCACTTCCACTTTGAAATGTACAAGAGCCTCAGAGGGGACTCGCGTACATTCCAAAGGTGGAATGCCACCGCTGCGCCCCTACCCTCTCCCATGGAGGTGGAGCTGGGGGGAACCGGCTTTTAAGTCAGCTCCCTCCAGCACCCTGCCTTGCTGCCTCTTTCTGATAGAGGCAGCAAAGGCGGGGAGAAGCAACTAGTCGATTAGTGTGTCAGCTATCCGATAAGCTTTTATCAGATAGTTGACTAGTTGATTAGTCATTTACATCCTTATGCCTGGCTACATTTTATTTAACTTTACTTAATCAAAATGCTACACTACCAGAAAATGCTTATTGTAAAGAAAGCAGTAATAGTTTGTTTACAAAATTGAGAACCACTATCTATAGATAATTGAAAGGAAAAATGATAAAGCCCAAATTTCATATTACTTACTCTAAACAGTTTGTCTATATGAATCTACCAATAGATTGTAAATTTGGGCCATTATTAATTTAAAACAGGAAACAGCCAGTATGCAGTTAGCTTACGTTGTATTGCATTGCTATTTTGTATCTAGTGTACATCATGTGATTTGTGGGCTTCTGTTTGGCCGAACTGAAAACCAAAATGAAATTATGACATCAGTGAGATGTCAGAGTTTCCCTGTCAGGACGAGTACATCGATGGAAAATGTGTTGTGGGAGCTGAGGATAAAGGCTAACTAAGAATAAAGAAAAGGACTATTTACAAATATTAATAAAAGTTTTTATAAACTGAAATAATTATTTAGATGCAGATTTCTTCAGAATATGATTTTTAAGATAACAGATAAAATAAGATTTCAAAATTCTTTTTCATCTTGCCCTTTCATCTCTTTTTGGGAGGATGTGTGGAGAATGAATTGCAGTGGTAGTGTTAGCCAGTGGTGCCGGAGTGGCACCTGGGAAGTGGAATATGTCTATTCACAGGGCTGTAACCGTGGTGGGAGGTAAGTGGAGAAGCTACTCGGGGCACAAAGCGGAGGATGGGACGTGCAGAAACATTAGGGGGGAAATAGTAGGGGATAGAGCCAGTAGTGGACATGGTATTTCCATCTTCACTTCTGTGCTGCTGTGGCAGTAGCGCTGCCTTCAGAGCTTGGAAGCCAGAGAGCAATGGTAGCTGGCCAGGTCCCAGCTCTTGAAGTCAGCTCTACCCCCAGCAACAGTGCAGAAGTAATGCTGGCAATCTCTTACCTCAGCACAG